ATATATATATATATATATAAACTATTTACGGTAAAGTTATAAAAAAATTATATTTAATATTATAATTATAACAATATATAATAATAATAATAATAATTTTATTACTTATTATTACTTTTTATTATCATAAAAAGAAAGAGAATATGCGTTTTTACTAATTTTCTCTAATATATTTTTAAAAATATATAATTTATTAAAAGAGCGAATGAGATTATATATAATATTTTTTCAATAGAAATCAAAACTTTTTCGGCTGATTGTTTAATATGTTAAAATTTGATAAATGAACTTCATTTGAAAAGGAAAAGGACAAAATAAAACTGTTACTTATTTCTGTCCTTCTTATTTTTTTCCCTTTTACTTGGTTTATCAGTTTTCTAATACGTTGAATGAAAAATATTGTTTTAATCAAAATTTAGATATACTAAACATTAAATCCATTAATCTTATTTAGTATTTTATTACTTGTGCTAAACCAAACATTTGTTACCAAATTAGGGATAACTCTAGTTTTTTTTTCTTTTTTTATTTATAATTTTACACTCATTCATTTTAAAAATATTATTTCATAATTTTCTAACAGTATATATACATACACTCTATTAACTTTTGAAACACTACACTTACACCTGTAATAAATAAAGAGCACCATCGTGTGTTTAAAAATAAATAAATAAATGTAAATATCATTTAAGGAAATATCAATTTAATTTACCCTAAAAAATTACTATAATTGTGTGCTATTGTAATACAAAATAGAATAATATAATATTTTTTACCAATATTATAAAAGTTATCAAACAGTAACAAAAACTAATATTTACTGATATTGAATTGAGTCAGTCCTCTATCGTAAATATTACAATTAACCGTACCAAATTAGTTAACCGTACGATTATTATGATTGTAAATTATTAATATAATATTAATTAGATGACAAAAATAACGTCTTTGTCGGCATCTAGCATTTAGGCAGGTAATGGTGGATTTTAATATTCACTATATTGATGTTAATATCATCATATTTATCTATATATATATAGGTATTTATCGTGTTAAAAAATTAAAATTAAAATTTAATTTATATTTTATTAAATTAAATTAAATTAATTTTATTTTTTATTTTATATATTTTTTCAAAATTATTTAAAAAATTTATAAAATATATTTTTTAAATATTTATCGATATCTATTAATATTCACAATTTTAAACTATCCATATTATAATTTATATTATCATAAAAAAATAACCAAGTCATATATCAATCGGGTGAGAATATTCTACCTGTATAAACTGTCGATTCTTATCAAAATCATATCATTAAGAAGAAAAAGATTGTTATCAAATAAAAAATGACATTGATTTGACTGATGTTGTTAAAAACTTTACACAATTTGACCTAAAAGAAGGAAACTAAACCCATTCTATCTTTTATTTATCTGCAGTAGAAGAAAGTTAATTTATATCTTATCATCCATTTAATAATATATAAATACTATTACTTATTATTTTTCTTGCCATAAAAAGAATATTGTTTTTCTCATGCCATTGGTTTTCTTCCCAAACTGTGAGATTCTGCCATGCCGTTCCGCCTTCTACACCCATCAACCATTCCCTCTTCAAAATCTCTCTTTTCACCCTCCCAAGCAATCTTCGACCCCGTTTTCGTCTGAAATTCCGTTTCTTCGTTAGGACCTAGATCCGTTTCTACCTGTTCGGATATGAAGAGCCCAAGGAAGAAGAAGAGACCGAAGCCCCCGAAGAAGGCTGAGGAGAAAAAAGGAGCAGAAGGGGTTGTGGAGGGAGAAGAAGAGGAGAGAAAGAAAAGGGTTTTGGAGGCATTGGTGGACGCTTTCTCGTTGTCTTCAATAAGGGAAGCTTCCATAGCGTATGACATTGCAGGGTCTGATCTCCACAGGGCTTCAGAGATCCTGAGGAAGGGGTTGTCGGAGGATTCGTTTTCATGTTGCTCTTCTTCATGCAGTGGTGGAAGCAGTGGCGGTGGAACTTCTTCTTCTTCGGGGATGGAATTGGGGTCGAAGGAGGAGGCGGAACAGAATTGTGGGGAGGGGTTTGTTGTGGGCGGTTTCAAAGGGGGGAAGCAGAAGAAAAAGGTGGTTGCTTCAACTGGAACTGTTTCAACGGTTTTGGGGAAGGAATATGTGAGGAGGAACAAGGGAAGTAACAAAGGGTTTAGTGCTAATGATGAAGCTTTTGACATGGAGAAAGCAGAGCAGTTCCTCTGCTCTATGCTTGGGGAGGATTGTGATCTTAACTTGGCTGTTGTTAGAGACGTTCTTTGTAAGTAAATTGCCCTTTTTGATGTTTTTTGCTTTTCAATTTTAGATTTTGTATATTGAAACTTGATGAGGAATTCAGCATGGATGCGGGATTTGTTGGCTGTGAAAATAAATGACTAAATGTCACTTTTTTTTTTGAAGTTTTGGTTTCAATTCTGTAATAGATCTAAGTGTCTATACCTGCATACATTATTTAGTATATAAGTGCTAAAGCTAGTTTAGAAAAGTATGCATAGCAATTAAAGTAAATAATTTATTGTGTAGAGACTAAATAAAAAGTAAAGATTGTATTAAACCTAAATCTTATTAAAGATTCAACCATTTGATGTGATTCTAAAAGGAAGCTTAGATGTTCTTCTGAGTTTAAAAAGAAGTAAATTATTCCTCTTCCATAAAGTGATTTGATGTTGCTTTTAGACCTTTTGTCTTTTCTTGTGCGTTATAGCAAGCAAGAATTTGTCTTTGCATAGTTATTTAAAGTTAGCAAGCAATCTTATTGAAGACATTGTATACTTGTTTCTATGAGGCGGTTTTGATATTTTGTTTAGTAGACTAGTTTCTTATTTATGGCCTGACTTTGGAATTTGTGTTTGCAGGTCAGTGCGGATATGATATTGAAAGGGTATGATTGCATTTTGAGATTGT